AATGATCATTTTGATAAATTAACTAATTATTAAATTATATTTAGAGTAAAATTTTTAAGGCAGGCAAAGATTTTTTCTAATAGTAATAACGGTAATAATTATAACTATAATTATAATTAATAATAATAACCATTTTGATAAATTAACTAATTATGAAATTATATTTATAGCAAAACTTTTAAAGCAGATAAAGATTTTTTCCAATAGTAATAATGGTAATAATAATGATAATAGAAATAATAATAAAATCATTCAATGTATTTGAATGATTAATTAACAAAAACAAAAGTCTAAAATATCTTTTGAAAAAAATTTACAAAAAAATTATTCATGAAATAAAATTAAATTCTTTCTTGATAGATAAAGCTAATCAATATTTTTTGTAAATAATTTAATTCACTATTTTGATTGATTCATTGGTTAATTATATTGATTAATTAAAAATTTCTTTTGTTTTCAGTTCAATTCATTCGAACAACTTTGGATTAATTTTGTTAATGAAAAATTACAACAATTTTTCAACCATCATATGTTTGTATTGGAGCAAGAAGAATATGCACGTGAAGGAATCCAATGGACATTTATAGATTTTGGTTTAGATTTACAAGCATGCATTGAATTAATTGAAAAACCATTAGGCATTCTATCAATGTTAGATGAAGAATGCATCGTACCAAAAGCAACCGATCTTACATTGGCGCAAAAATTAAATGATCAACATTTGGGTAAACATCCAAATTTTGAAAAGCCTAAACCACCAAAAGGTAAACAAGGTGATGCGCATTTTGCTATGCGACATTATGCTGGTACGGTACGATATAATGTGACAAATTGGTTGGAAAAGAATAAAGATCCATTAAATGATACTCTTGTATCGGTTATGAAGCATTCAAATGGTAATGCGCTTTTAAATGAAATTTGGCAAGATTATACAACACAAGAAGAAGCTGCTGCTGCTGCTAAAGGTTTGTTTTAATTATTTTATTTTATTTTATATTTTATTGTTGCAAAAAAGAAATCAATATATTTTAAGCGGTTTGTTATATTTTAATTATTATAATTTATTTTATTTTATATTTTATTGTTGCAAAGTAGAATGAAAAGATTAAAATTTTCAATATATTTTTAAATGATTTGAAATTTATTCAAAATTATTAATGTTAATAATTTTTATTTTGATAAATTACGAATTAGGAAATGCTTTTTTATGCATGATAAAATGATATCTTATCACTCCAATGATAATTAATGTTTAATTTAGCTTTTAATTTAATTAATTTGAGAAATTTTTTAGTGGATTTAACGAATGAAATTTACATAAAGTAATCTTTCAAATATGAAAAAAATTTAAAAGTAAAAAAACAAAAAAGAATTAATAATAATTTTATGATATGCAAATAATTGCTTAATATATTTGATATTGTTTTGTTTACCTTAATTTAGATAATTAATAGGAGAGGGTAGGTATTCATTCTTATCTTTTATATGATATGATAATATGATACTTCTAATGTTACTTAATCACTGAATGATAAAAATCCATCAAAATATGTTGAAATTTTTTGTAGAAAAATTTTTAATAAATTTCAATATTTTTATTTCACTAAAATTTAATTAATTCAAATTTGAATTTGTACATATAAATTTCTAATTATTCTTACTGTAATATTTTCATAGATTCTCATTATTAATTTCAGATGGTGGAGGAGGAGGTAAAAAGAAGGGTAAATCCGGTTCATTCATGACCGTTTCAATGTTATATCGTGAATCATTGAATAAACTGATGACAATGTTAAATATGACTCATCCACATTTTATTCGCTGTATAATACCAAATGAGAAGAAACAATCCGGTTTACTGGATGCAGCATTGGTATTAAATCAGCTAACATGTAACGGTGTACTGGAAGGTATTCGTATCTGTCGTAAAGGTTTTCCCAACAGGTATTGCTTATTGTCTTTAATTTAAAATTTCAAATTTTAAACATATCCTAAATAATTTTATTTAACAATTAAAATATATTTTATGCAAAAAAAAATTTTATCACAAATGAATTTTATTAAAATTCCTAATTAATTGTTTTAATCATTTAAATTAAGCAATTCATTTGATATTATAATAAAATTTTAAAATCTTAAAGTCTAAAATAGCAATCGATATTTGTCTAATTTCACTAATTATCAAATGTAAAAGCTTTAAAATAATTTAAATTCTTCATTTCTTCTTTTGATAAATAAATGTTTATTTATAGATTGGTCCATAAAGATTTCAAGCAACGTTATTCATTGCTTGCCGCGGATGAATCGGTCAGTACAACCGATATGAAGAAATGTGCGGAAGCAATGTTGAAACGATTAGTAAAGGATAATATTTTGACAGATGAAAATTTCCGAATTGGTGAAACGAAAGTATTCTTTAAAGCTGGCGTATTAGCGCATTTGGAAGATATTCGTGATGAAGCATTAAAAACGCTTCTAACAAAATTACAATCACAAATTAAATGGTATTTGGGTTTAACCGATAAAAAACGACGTGTTCAACAAAAAGCTGGCTTACTTATCGTACAACGAAATGTACGTGCATGGTGCTCATTGCGTACTTGGGAATGGTTTAAATTATACACTAAAGTTCGACCGATGTTAAAAGAAGGAAAAGTAGCAGAAGAGATGGAAAAATTACAGGAGAAATTAAAATCACTTGAAGATACACTACAAAAAGAGGAAAGTTTGCGAAAAAATTTGGATGATACAGCGAAAAAAATGGAAGCCGAAAAAGCGGAATTATTTGAAAAATTGGAATCTGTTAAGAATAATCTTACCACATCGGAGGGAAATCTTTCACAAATGGAAAATGCAAAAACGGATGCTGATAGAAAACTTGAGGTGAAAATATTATTTTATCTCTTATTGATTTATTTTTTCCCTCTTAAATTTAATTAATTTAATTTAGATATCAATATCTCTAAGTTTAATTTGTGTATCGTCTAATTTAAAGTGAAGAAATTTAGCTTACAAAATTCATATTTAAGATATTCTATGAAAATATTATTCTATCTCTTACTGATTTATTTTTCCCTCTTAAATTTAATTAATTTAATTTAGATATCAATATCACTAAGTTTAATTTGTGTATCGTCTAATTTAAAGTGAAAAAATTTAGCTAACATTTTATTTCATAAAAGCCATATTCAAGATATTCTAATCAAAAATAAAATTCAATGAAAATTTTTTGCTTATTTTAAAATTTTCATTTCCTTTTTTTCAGGAATTAAATGAACAACTTGCTGATGTTGAAGATCAAAATACGGAAATTCAACGATCCAAAAAGAAAGTGGAAGGTGAAATTGATGCATTAAAGAAACAAATTCAGGATTTGGAAATGAGCGTACGTAAGGCAGAAATGGAGAAGCAATCAAAGGATCATCAAATTCGTTCACTTCAAGATGAACTTCAACAACAAGGAGAATCAATCGCTAAATTAAACAAAGAAATTAAGCATCAGGATGAGTTGAATAAAAAAATTACGGAAGATTTACAAGGTGAAGAAGATAAAGCAAATCATGCAAGCAAAATTAAAAGTAAATTGGAGCAAACGTTAAATGATTTGGAAGATAGTTTGGAACAAGAAAAACGTGCAAAAGCTGATAGTGAAAAATCGAAGAGGAAACTTGAAGGAGAATTGAAAATTGCGCAAGAAACAATCGAAGAAGCAACACGTCAACGACGTGATTTAGAAAATAATATGAGACGTAAAGAAACCGAATTGAATACATTAAGTAGTCGATTAGAAGATGAACAATCAACAATTAGTAAATTACAACGACAAATTAAGGAATTACAAAGTCGTGCAGCGGAATTGGAAGATGAAGTGAATAATGAGCGACAATCACGATCAAAAACTGAAAAAGCACGTTCAGATATTCAACATGAATTGGATGAATTAAATGATCGTTTAGATGAGCAAGGTGGTGCAACAGCAGCGCAAATAGAAATTAATAAAAAACGTGAAGCTGAAGTGGCTAAACTTCGTCGTGATATCGAAGAAGCTAATATGAATCATGAAAGTCAACTATCTGCGCTACGTAAAAAGCATACCGATGCAGTTGCTGAATTAACTGATCAATTAGATCAAATTCAAAAACAAAAGCAAAAATTGGAAAAAGATAAATCACATTATGTACGAAATATGGAAGATTTAGCTGCCCAATTAGATAGTGAATGTGCTGCTAAAGTTAGCAATGAAAAATTGGTAAAACAATTTGAATTGCAATTAAATGATTTGCAAGCTCGAGCAGATGAGCAATCACGTCAATTACATGATTATAGTTCAATTCGTAATCGTCTTGGAAATGAAAATAGCGATATGTTACGACAATTGGAAGATGCGGAAGAGCAAGTTGCAACATTACAACGATTTAAAGCTCAATTAACGCAACAAATTGAAGATATTCGTTCAGCTACTGATGAAGAAGTACGTGAACGGCAAGCACTTTCAGCGCAAGTGAAAAATTTACAGGTGGAAGCAGAACAAGCACATAATAATTTGGAGGAAGAGATTGATTCGAAGAATGAAGTAGCAAGACAATTGAGTAAAGCAAATGGTGAAATTCAACAATGGCAATCACGTTTCGAACAAGATGGTATGCTTCAAGCAACGGAAATTGAAGAAGCTCGTCGTAAGCAAGGTGTTAAAATTAGTGAATTACAAGAAGCGCTTGAACAAGCTAATCAGAAGATTATATCATTGGAAAAAACACGATCACGCCTTCTTGGTGATCTTGATGATGCGCAAGTTGACGTAGAACGTGCGAATGCTTTAGCAAGTCAACTGGAGAAGAAGCAAAAAGGCTTTGATTCAGTAAATTTTAATTTTCATTTCAATATTGTTGTAATTATGAAAAATTATTGTTTAACCTCAAGATCTCATTCATTGATCAGATTGTATTGAAATTTGATGTAAAATATTTTTGAAAAACCTGTCTATTTCGAAATTGGTGAAAAGGTAAATTTTATATTAGACTAAACGCCCTATCGATCTCTTAGAAACTAATTCGTACAGTAGGAAAAATGTTTCTCATTCACAAATTTTTTTATGAGTTTCATTTATCAAATATTTTGCAGCTTGTTGATGAATGGAAAAAGAAAGCTGATGATATGACAGCAGAACTTGATGCTGTTCAGCGTGAAGTACGTAATTTGTCAACAGATTTGTTCAAAATGAAAACAACCCATGAAGAATATTCTGAAACAGTTGAAGGACTTCGTCGTGAAAATAAAGTTTTAAGTAATGAAATTAGAGATCTTACTGATCAACTTGGTGAAGGTGGACGTTCTCAACATGAAATGCAAAAAATGATTCGACGATTAGAAATTGAGAAAGAAGAATTGCAACATGCTCTTGATGAAGCAGAAGGTAAAATATTTAAACTCATTTAGAAAGGATTGAAATTACGAATTCATAAGTTGTAGAATAATTTTTAAGCTTTAACATATCAGTATAATTTTATACAATCTATGTCAAATTTTTTAGGAGCATTGGAAGCAGAAGAAAGTAAAGTAATGCGAGCGCAAGTGGAAGTTTCGCAGATACGTTCTGAAATTGAAAAACGAATACAGGAGAAAGAAGAAGATTTTGAGAATACTCGACGAAATCATCAACGTGCATTGGAATCAATGCAAGCATCATTGGAAGCAGAATCAAAGAGTAAAAATGAGCTTCTACGTTTGAAGAAAAAGCTTGAATCAGATATTAATGAGCTTGAAATTGCACTCGATCATGCTAATAAAGGAAATGCTGATGCGCAAAAGAATCTAAAACGTTGCACGGAGCAAATTCGTGAACTTCAACTACAGGTTTATTAATTCGAAATTTTCGTAACTATTTGCTAGATTAAAATTTGTTACAAATTTAAATATATAATATGAATAATAGATATGAGTTATCACTTATCTGCAAGTGATATGAATAATTAAATTATTCAATACTGATGCTGCTATCATTATTTCATTGATAATAGCTTTGAAATTGAAATGATAAAATAAAATGGTACTATTTTTTCAAAAACTTTTAACTTATTGTTTTAACTTTTAACTAATTAACTTGTAACTTATTAAAACTCTAACTTAAAACTTTTTAACTTATTCAGTTGTAATTTTTTTCAGGAGAAAGAGATAGAGAAAAATTATTTCAGAAAATTTAATTGCAATTTTAATATGTTTTCAAAAAATAATTTATGAAAAATTACTTAACGAAAAGCAGTAATTTCAATTAAGAAATTAAACTTTAAATTTTAAATTAAAATTAAACCTGAAATTTAAATTTAAAAAATAAAAATTTTTTTTTGAATATTAAAATATAATTGACAGATCGAAGAAGAGCAACGACAACGTGATGAAATGAAACAACATTATTATACCGCTGAAAAACGTGTGCAAATTTTGGAAGCTGAAAAAGATGAAATTAGCCAAGCATTGGAACAAGCGGAACGAGAACGACGACAAATGGAAATGGAAGCAAGTGAAAGTCGTGAGCAGGCTAATGAATTAAATATGCAAGTTAGTAATCTTAGCGCCGCAAAGAGGAAAGCTGAAGGAGAGTTACAGGCAAGTTGATGATGATAATTTTATACAATTAATTAAATGATTAATTTAATAATTAATTAATAACAATTATTTTGTTGAAATTGAAGAAAAGAAACTTTTTTTTGCTGCTATGATTTTTTTTAATTTAATTTTTTTCTCCTATTGTTTTAGCTATGTGTAAATTAATAACAATTACATCTTCTGAATCAAACGAAACAATTTTTTGAATTTGTGTGAAATTTTATTTGAGTGAAATTTTTTTGAAATTTGGATGAAAATTGAAATTGAATGAAATTTTAATTTTTTAGGCTATTCATGCGGATATGGATGAAACATTGAATGAATTTCGTGCGTCGGAAGAACGAAGTAAGAGAGCAATCGGTGATGTTGAAAGGCTTGCTGAAGAATATCGGCAAGAACAGGAACATGGTTTGCATATTGATAGGATGAGGAAAGGCCTTGAAGCACAGATTAAAGATATGCAAGTATGTTTCTTCCCTCTCTCTCTCTCTCTCTTTCCCTTTCTAAACAAAATTTAAAATATAATTAAAATTTGAATAAGTTTAAATAAATAATATTTGAATTCAAAATTCATGAATTTTTGATAATTTCAGAAATAATCAAATTTAAATTCAAAAAATACTTATTTTCTCCATCACAAAGATCGATTTTAATTGCTAATTTAATATTAATTAATTTAAGTATCTTTTAAATCTCCTGCTAATTAAAAAAAAAACATAATTAAAACCATCAATGTGTTATAAATTGATAAGATTAAGTGAGCATAAAATTGAAAACAAAATAATTTAGCATAGATTCATAATATAATTTATATGCTATTTATATGCTATTTGTATGCTATATTTATATGCTATATTTATATGCTATAATTTATATGCTATATAATTTATATGCTATATTTATATGCTATATATGCCATCATCAAAATTAGTTGTTATTTTAAATTTTAAATCATCTAAATATTAAACCTTTAGGGACAATTGGAAGCAGCAGAGCAAGCAGCACTAAAAGGAGGCAAAAAAGTAATTGCTAAATTAGAACAACGCATTCATGATCTCGAAGGTGAACTTGATGGTGAACAACATCGTTATCAGGAAGTTAATAAAAATGTTGCAAAATCCGAAAGGCGAGTACGCGAATTACAATTTCAAGTGGACGAAGATAAGAAAAATTATGAACGTTTGCAGGATCTTGTTGATAAACTTCAAAATAAAATTAAAACACAAAAGAAGCAATTAGAAGATGCGGTAAGTTATTTATATTAATGGTTTTTCTTTTGAAAAAATTTTTTCAAATATTTTAATTTCAATTGATAATGTATTGATAAAAGAAATTGAAAGAATTTAGGGAATGAATGAATGAATATCAGTGCTGATAAATGTTTACAAAATTTTGACTGATAAATATTAAAAGATTAATTTTTGATTATTATATTCTTTGCAGAATTATTTGTTGTACTAAATTTAACATATTAGAAATTCAATTAAACATATGTATCATCCATCCATCAATGGAGAATAGAAATTGATATTCCCGTTATTACCAGTATAGTAGATATTTTGTAAGAATGAAAAAAATAAGAAAAAGCTTTTAGTAGCATATTATTATTCAATTGATAATATTCACTGATAAGGAATAATATATGATTTGGGAAATATGCAATAGTTATGGTAATAAGGAATGTAAAATTTGTGTGAGCAGTAGTAGTATTCTAAATTGCAGAAAATATCATTGATTAATTTATTAACTGATAATATTTGTTTACTATAACATAAAAAAGTTATCCTCATTGGAGAATTGATAATTTGTTGTTAGTGATAAATTTTTTATTCCATCTTATCACCTATCATTTAGTTGATATTATGCTTTTAATAATTGCAATAAGAATAAGGATCAAGCATATCTATTTATCATAGCTTTTCTTCCCTCTTTTCTTTCCTTTTCCAATTATATGTCATATGTACATTACGTGAAACGGTCACGTAAAATACGTGATTTTCATTAGTTAAAAACACTCTGTAGCTTTTAAATAATTTTTCCACGAAAAAAAAAGAAATAATTATAAATTGAAATTATTTGATTTAATTTATAGGAAGAGTTAGCAAATCTAAATTTGCAAAAATATCGACAAATCCAGCATCAATTGGAAGATGCCGAAGAGCGTGCTGATAATGCTGAAAATTCCGTCACAAAAATGCGTTCAATGAGCCGAACAGCGATGTCAGCTGCACCGGGTGCTGGATTACAAGGAGCTCGTTCCGCTACCGTACTTCGATCATCATCTCGTAATCGAATTTCCGACTATTAGATGATGATATTCAACGAAGTTTTCAATTTTCTTTCTTTTAAAACAAAAAAAAAGAAGAATGATAGTTTTATCAAACTGATCCATTTATCGTTTCATTTTTGATTTGATGCATAATTTTCCTGAAATGATCACATTTTTCTTTTTCCTGATATTATTATCACTGTGTATGTTTTCCACGATGCGACAAATAGAATAAAATAAAGAAGTGTTCGTTCCCTAGTGATATGATATGACATGATATGTTATCAGATATATGTCACATTCATTTAAAATATTTAAAAGTCAAAAGAAAAACTAAAAATGATTTTATGATTAATAATGCTATATCATGAAGTTAAGATATCAAATTACAAATTATAATTAATCAAACGGAACACACTTTTTTTTTATTAACCCCAACGATAGCATTACAATAATAATCATAATATAATAATAATGATAATAATAGTAATAATAATAATAACAGTATTAATAGTAATATTAATAATAATAATAAAATAATACGTTATTAGTATGTTTACAGTATTAACACACAAAACAATGACAAAAAGAAAAAGTGATGAAACAACAAAATGGTAAAAGTAAAAATTGTCAACTAAAATTATTTCTATTCAATTATATTTATTCGGTCCTTGAACGTTTCTGTTCAACAACTAATGATAATGGTGAATGTGGTGATGAAGCTTTTCCGGAAGTACCATCGCTTAAACCGCTTGGACTACAACAATCTACCGGTGAAGTTATCTGAAATATATACGAGGAAAGAAATATGATAACGAATAAATAAACAAATTATTTATTATTAAATCATAAGAAATAAATCATTTTATTTTTAATTTATTGCTATTTGTTTTAATTTATTATTTATAATATTTTAAATATTTATTCTTAATTAATCAAACTATTTGTTTCATTATTACTTATAATAAATACTCTTAAATAATATTATTAATTAATTAAATGATTATACCGATCATATCATTCTTTAATTTATTTAATAAATCAATTAATTAATTAAAAGATGGTGACAATTATGTCAAATTATTATTTATTATTATTATTATTATTATTATTATTATTATATTCACAGAAAGTGGCAGTATATTATTATTCATTATTGCTTATTATTGTTCATTATTAATTATTATTATTCATTATTATTTATTTTTATTATTATAATACTTACAGAAAATGACAGTACATTATTATTTATTATTATTTATAATTTATTATTGTTTATTATTATTATTATTATTGTTATAATACTTACAGAAAGTGGCAGTACACCAGTTTGTGCGCGTAATTTTAAGAAGCAATCATTACATCGAGGATGATCAAAGCTGCTACTGATAATTAAATATTCATGATGACGCTAAAATAAAAATATAATTTCAAATTCGATTAAACATTTGACGAATGATTAATTTAATTAATAGTAGCATTCAGTAATTTTATTTAGATACATTTCATATCTACTAATTATTGTAATTATTAGATAACTAAAATTGTTGGAAAAATATTAAAATTATATTTCATCCATTTAAATTACACTCTTAGATAAGAGATTTTGATAACAAAAAACTTTTTGCTATTTGCCAATTTACAGAAATAGTTTCTCAATTAAAAAATTCTTAAATCATTTCAAAATAATTTTTACTTTTTTACTCATTAATTTAATTACTCATAATCATACAGTATACAATAAATGTTTACAGTATCACTTCTTCTCTTTAGTACTATTTTACAACTTCTTCCTACAAAAAACATAAAAAATATAATTCATAAATTAATCACTAAATTTTTGTTTCATTTCCTCTATGTTGAAAAAAGAAGAATGCCCTGTGGAATAAATTATTTTGGATCAATTTTGTACTATGAAAACATATTCATTCTAATTATCAAATTTTAAATAATTAATTAATTGAAAGTTATTAATTTATTATAAGAATAAATAAGCGAATATTCATATATTTAAATTTGTAGGATAATTCCTTTTCTATCCTTCATCCTTTTATTGCTTCAGTACACATATATTCACGAATTTAAAATAAGAATTGAATTTCAATTTTTGATAATTTAGCTAAAAATTTTAAATTCAATGGATGAAACAAAAGAAAATAAACCTTTGCATTATTTTAATATACGTATATATATATATATATATATAATCAAAATTGAAATTCAGTTCTTATTTTAAATTCATATGTATATATTATACATATATGCATATTGAATATATATGTATATGAATTAAAAATAATGAAAGCATTGATTTCAAATTTTTATATTTGAATAAAAATTTAAAAACCAATGGATGAAACAAAAGATAATAATCCCCTGTATTATTATTTCATTATTATTATTATTATTATTTCAATTATTATTATTATTATTATTTCAGTATACATACATATATTAATTCCTTTGTATATCCATATATTTCAGTACACATACATACATATATGTAAATATAATTCAGTATACATATACTAAAATAATACAAAGGAATTTAAAAAAATAATAACAAAAAATTGGTTGAATTAAAAATTAAAAAAAATGAATTTCGAATTTTCATATTTGAATAAAAATTTAAAAACTAAATTTAGAAAAACAGTAAAACAAAGAAGAAAACGTTTTACCTCACAAAATCGACAGAAATTACTATTCCCGGGAAGTTGCTCATCATATTCATTTCTTTTCATACTTCCACTTCTATCAGTTATTGCTTGAGGCATTATCATTGAACATGTATTACTACTATTTGTTGGACGATTTAATTGACTGTTTGAATCTTTACGACATCCACGATTTTTCACTTCAAATTTTTCCTTTTATATAAAATATAATTTTAAATTGACATTATCAATTTTATTTTTTAGCACGTAAATCATTTGTATAAAATTACAACGGCAATAATATATCTTTTACTTGAAGTTAGCATAATATAATAGTTAGTATAAATTTAAAAAGTTAATTTTTTTCACAATATGATATAAAATTTTGGATTTGTTAATTTAACATAATAGTTAAAAAATAGTTAAATAAAAAATTTCAAATCTTACATCCAAGCCTTTTTTGTTGATTCGATCGAATACGTAGTAATTCGTATTCACGTTTTCGTCGACATTGTTCAGATATTGGTGATAGTAATAAATTATCAGATGATAATTTATAATCTTTCAAACTAAAAAAAAATTTTACAATATAGATTTAAAACTTTCTTACAAAAATTTAAATTTAACAAAATTTCAAAAATAAATTTAACAATTGAAAATGGACAAATAAATATTATTATTATTATTATTATTATTATTATTACCTAGCGATATTTTTGATAAGTTTTGATTTTTCCAATTCGATATGTTCAATCCAATCATGTTCAGAGCTTAATTTTTCATCGCAAAGTAAGCAAATTGGATTGCCATCTTCATCAGTTTGAAGTTCTAAAAATGTGAAATACATTATACTGATAATAATTAATAATAATGATAATAATAATAATAGCAATAATAATATTTTTATCACTATCATAATTATTATAACTACAGTTATTGCTATATTACCATTTGTCATACATACTCCAGTGATTAATAATGACATATATCATCAAATATCAGATAACAAATAACGATGATAATTGCAATTGTTGCTATAATATTCGCTTATCGTATCTCAATCATTAATAATAACACATATCGTCGACATGAGATAATGGCGATACAATATCATTCAATCATTACTTTTTCAACATTTAATACTACTACCAATTATACTATTCTAAAAAGGGTAATATTTCCATAGTTGATAATGCTATCAGTATCGGTTGATAATGTTATCAGTAATGTTCAATAAATTATAAATAATTAGTATTAATTATAAATTATAATAATTATAATAACGAATATTTTTCATCAAATATATCAATTCATTTTTAAATTAAAAAAACTAACATATATTAACGCACATGCTAATGCATACTAAATTATAGTAATCAAAAAAATTTTTTCTAAACCTTTTTAAGTAATTAATTATCATTCCCCTTAATTAATTATTATTTCCCTTATTAATTAATTCTTTCAATTCCATTTCATTGATAACATTTTGCGCACAATAATTTACGCCTAATCAATCATAAAAATGACACCAAAAACAAATAATTCTTCCATAGAAAGTAATTTATTTATATTTTTATGTATGTTTGTATGTGTGTATGTCTGTATGTGTGTATGTGATGTGTTGTGTACATGCTTGTATGTATATATATGTTGTATGTGTGTGTGTGTGTGTGTGTGTGTGTATGTGTCTGTATTTGTTTGTACACAGTAATCCAATGTGGAAGATTTACAATAGCCTTAATATATCTTGGACATATGAGAGGTATTACGAGCTCTATTGCGTATGTTAATTTTTACGATTTCCAAATTGACGACGATAATCATTGATTACAATTTTTAGAGGTTAAAGGTTATATCATTTTATAAAATTTACTGCCTAAGGGATTTCTATTCTTTCTTCCTTTTTTTGTTTCTTTCTGTATTTTTAGTTTTAAAATTAAATTAATTAAAATTAAGAAATAAACAAAAGAATGTAAAATGGAAAGAAAAAGAAAGCTTAATTTAATTAGATGAACAAATTAATAAATTAATATCAAATATAAACAATCTTTAAAATAATTTAATTAAAAAAAAGATTTTTTGAAATCTCTTTTTCTTCTAATTTTTCTCTTGTTTAATGAATAATTCTTTTGTCCAATTAATCAAATAAAAGTGTAAAAATAATTAAAAAAATTTCTCATTATGACATTTTATAAAAAATTCAAAATAAATTTTATAAACTATAAAATATTAATTTTAGTTAAGAATTATATCAAAAAGAAAAGAAAGAAAAAGAAAAAGAAATTCCTAAAGTAACTTCAAGTGATTAAAACATTAAGTTAATAAGAAAAATTACATAATTAAATAAAAAACTTTCTGATACTGTAATTAATTAATCAATATAATCTCAGATGCAATGTATTAATTAAAAAAAATTTATAAAAATACTATTTAAATAATGATGAAAATTAATTATCACAAATAAGCGGAAATAGGTTGGGAAATATTGGAATTAATAAAATGAATTTTAAATCAAAAATTATATTCGAATGATTGATAGAATTACGGTAGAAATGAAATCAATAAAATAGCTTTTTTTGTATATTTCATCAACAATTAACTAATTTCAAAATTTTTTCTTGTTTCAAATTTTAAATTCTTTTTTTGATCATTTACGATAATTGATGTGATATGTTGATTTTTATATAAACTTCTTACTCTTTTCTCTGTTAATTGATAAACTTAATTGAAAATATTCCACATGTATATTATTTGGTTTGCTCGAAATTTGGAAATATTATTACATCGATGAAATTAAATGAGAGAAAGCGGGGAAGATGATGGTAAATGAGAGAAAGCGGGGAAGATGGTAAATGAGAGAAAGCGGGGAAGATGATGGTAAATGAGAGAAAGCGGGGAAGATGGTAAATGGTAAAAAAGCGAAGAAGATGGTAAATGGTAAAATAGCGGGGAAGATGGTAAATGGTAAAAAAGCGGGGAAGATGGTAAATGAGAGAAAGCGGGAAAGATGATGGTAAATGGCAAAATAGCGGGGAAGGTGATAGGTAAATGGTAAATAAGCGGGGAAAATGGTAAATGAGAGAAAGCGGGGAAGGTGGTTAATGAGAGAAAGCGGCGAAAATGGTAAATGGCTAAAAAGCGGGGAAAATGATAAATGAGAGGTAAATGAGAGAGAGCGGGGAAGATGGTAAATGATAAAAAAAGCGGGGAAGATGATAGATGAGAGAAAGCGGAGAAAATTGTTATACATGATAATGAGATTTGCTAATTTGCATTTCTGTACCATTGAATAGGTGAGTAACACAATAGGATAGGATGATAAAAATTTTGTCGGATAGGTGAAAAAGAGGAAATTGTGAGGAGAGAGAAAATCAATTATGAACAAATAAATTCTAAAAGATGATACCGCCATCAACTAAATACACAATTCAACAAAAATGTTTGGCCTAATTTTTAGGCAAATTTAAGAGGCAATAAATTATTGTTGAAAATAATGTAAATTATATCTTTCACATCGTTTTACTATCTATCGTTAAATTTTATCTTTTTTTTGTCGTTACTATTTTCGAATTTTGATATTTACTTATAGTGATAAATATTATAATTCAAAAAGGATAAGTAAATATTCCTTGATCCTTGAATTTATGTTATAATTTAAAATTTAATCTTTCATCAAATTAAACCATTCATTTAAAACAACAATAACAACAACAACAACGACAATAACAATAATAATAACAATTATAATCTTTCATCAAGAAAAACCTTTCATTCTTCCAATAATTAATTTAATCATTTAAAACAAACAATTTATAGTAAAGAATAGAAACATATATTAGTCATTTTTAAAACTTAAAAAATATTTTAAGCAGTTAAGTAATAAATTTGAATTGAATTATAATCAACAGAGATGCTCGAAAATCAATGATTTATGATCATTTCATTTTAAATTTAAAACAAAATTTAAATGACCACATCCATTTCATTTCAAGGTAAAGCAGTTACTTTTATTATCTCTCAGTTGAGATATTTAATGGTAAATTAGGAATTTCCCAAGAGATATGTATATATATATATATATATATATCTATGTGTGTATACATTGACAAATAATTTGCATTCAAATATCAAATTTGAAAAGTTGTGAAATTGATAGATGTCATAAAAGGTTTGAATGGATATATGTTGGATACTGATTATACACATGGGAAATTTGCACACAATTAATAGAAAGACAACAAGGCCATGGCCAACGTTTAATAGCAAATTTATTGGCATAATTTGTATACTAATCAAAATAAATGAAATTTAAATTATATATTGGTCTGTTTGAAATTAATATAACAAAATAAATTACATTTAAGATTTATTAAATTAAAACATTTATAGGTAATATATATTGTTTGTTAAAAAATATTTCAAATAATATAATTTTGAAATTTTACTATTCACAATTTTATATGTTTGAATTTTAAGAAGTTAGCAAAAATTAATTGCGTATTAACTTTTTCAAAGTAAATTCTTCAAAATCGCATTATTGACCTTTCAACCTTTTAAAACATCATATACTTATTATTTTTGAAATTTTTAAATTCCAGAAATTAGATTTGATTTTCAAAATTACATTTTACATCAAACATTCCAAACAATTTTGCTAACCAAAAAAGTTTAAAATTTTGAAATTTACTGAATAATCATTTCAAATTTTAAATTTCCTCTCTTATCAAATGTATGATTTTTGGAAATGATAATTGTTGAGAATTCTAGAATTTCCCCCGTTATTAACCATATATTTTATATTTGCACGTATAGATATATGCATATATATATATATATATACATAGGAAAAAGGGGACAAAAACATTGATGATCGTTTGTTGCAGTAAAAATATACTGCATCACATATTGCTGAATATTATTGGCGAAGATATATTTATTTAGTAGATTCAATTTTGGCATCAATAAGAAGGAGCAATGTTATCTCAATCGATAATATACTAATATTTCCTAAAGGGAAGAATATAGTATAGATAATGAACAATATTATCTCAATTAATAATATACTAATAGTTCCAAAAGGAAAGAATATAGTATAGATAATGAATATTTATAGTTTATTCTTTTATTTATTCAAATATAAATTATACTAATTTGATAAATCATATTTTTCATATATAATATATATTTTTATAAAATTAAATTAAATATATCACCGAAATTATGCATAGAAAGAATACAAAAATTAAGACAATAAAAAAAGGAAAATTAAAAAATTTTAATTATACTGAAATTTGACAAATTTAGAATTATCGGTAAATGTTTATCAAAATTGCAAAAAATGAAAAGAAAGCGATGCGACACAATTACTCATTCATTAGGCAATTTGATTTTAGTAATTTCGTTGAATGAACAAAAGTCGTACCGCTTTAAAATGGTACTAATCGTTTTCGGAAATTTATTGCAATTAGCAGCAGTATATTGCTTCCTTTTTTCTTTTCCTTCTCTTTATTCTGTTTTTGTTTTTTTATTCCGTTCTTCTTTTATGTCTTCATTAGTGTTTTAGTGTGAGAAATTGAGCTATAATTTATCTCATCTGACCTTTGACCCGTTGATAATATTTTAATCATTTTTTTTTTACAGAAAGATTTATACATTTTACAATGATTACAAACAATAAGGCCTATTATTCGAAATATTTTCAAATATTATTTAATATTCTAATGAAATAACACACATTATTCTATTATTTAATAAATTTATCCAATAATTTTATATTTTATTCGTTACGGTATGTTACAGTATGTTCCAATAAGAAAGTTTTCGTAAAGCAAACTGATACGGTAAGTT